GGGCTGCCAACAGGCAGGGAAGGAGGGTTACTGCAGAACGCGCCGCTCCGCAGCGCAGCGGCAGCCTCCTCCTCGCTGGGTTTGGCAGCTGGTGCTCAAGGACGGCTCCGACACAGGCTGAGCGCAGAGCTCCCCAAGACCAGGCCTAACCGGTGGGGCTGCCCCTTGGCAGACAGAGCCGGGATGCCGGCCAAGGACTGGGACCACCTTGGGGCTTGACCACGCTGCCGCCTCACCTTCACATCATCGTCTTGCACGTCATGTGGGTGAGTGACAACTTGAAAGCACATTTGCCACCAGCAGGCAAGTGACAGCACCCCATTCCTGTCACCTTTCCAAGTCCTCCACTGCCCAGAATAACCTCCACTACCTTGGCCTAAGGAAAGTTACCTCCCACACACCATCCTCATTCCTGTCTGGGAAGGGATGGGAATACAGAGTTCATTTAGCTGCTCATCATCTGAAAACAAACAAACAAACAAAAAATCCAAAAAGCCTAAATATCTCATTTCCCCTAGCGAGTTACTGTGCATGTCCAATGTCCAGAGGCCCTTTTTAAAAAACTGACCTTTGTAGTTTCACTTGGATCCTTGTTCCTCTCCACCCTGTACCATCCAACCAGCTTTGCAGAACACTTACCAAGCACAGACTTAGAAACAGGAAGAAAAAAAACCTCTAATGAGCATGCCCCTCAATGTTTTTGAAGGAAATGGAAAAGCAAGGTAACAGCACACTCTCTCACTCATTTGAAAAAATAACTCTCTCATAAAGGTGAAAACAGACTGGAATTCCATTTTCAATAAGCATTAGCTAATACATTATCATTGCACAAAAAATGCACCACCACAATGAATCCAAAAAATACATGCTATGGAGTCATGATAACCCACCCAAGTGCCTGCTCTCAAAGCCTAAAAGGCTTTTATTTTTGACATTACAGACCTTTTTTTAAGAAAATGATATTATATTGCGCCGTATGACGTTCTACTGTAGCCAAAAATTAATTTGATTTGAAATAGGGGAAGGGAAGGGAAGGGAAGGGAAGGGAAGGGAAGGGAAGGGAAGGGAAGGGAAGGGAAGGGGGAAGGAACTAACTTTCTACTGAAAACTAAACAGCTTTAAAAATATGAGGAAATAACTCTAACAACACATTTAAACAAGGCCATACATTGTGACAGCCATTCAGTAAAATACACAGAAGTCAACCCTTCCCCTGCCTTTCATATTGTTTACACAAACAAGTGTCCTCTAAGATACACATATCAAAGGCAACCAGTAGCTTCTTAACATAAATCCAATAAAGTAAGGAAATTTATCATTAAAACCCAGCTTATTCTCTACTCCACATGAAACAATACACTCAGCCATGAGCGAACTATTACAGTTTGCACACAGTGACTTTGAGCTGCACTCTCTTCTGACAACCTTTTTTTATCAAGTTGTTTTTCCTCAATAAAAACTGTCTTTCAAAGCTGATTAGGATGAAAGACAATATTTTCAAGAGCTTTCTGAAAAGTCTGGTTACAAGCTGGGAGAGTCATAACAAGCTGAAGATAAAGTGAGCACATGTTTCTTCTTAGTTATGTTCCCCATATGTAAGTCACATCATAAGTATAGGTGAATAAATATAACGTACATACCTATAAAATATCAGTGTGTTTATTTATATATTAAGAGGGAAAGAAAGAAGCTGGAGAACACAGTAGTACTGATGATTGAGAATATTCGTCTATTAAACGCTTGACATGAACCCTGCTCTATTAGACAGCTCAGGTTAGGAAAAAAACAGAAGTCCCAATTTCCAACCTGTCCTCCAGGAACTGGTAACTCTCAACAATCTCATCAAAACCAACTGAAAAATTTTGCAGCAAATCTACAATAGTTCACTCCCATGGCAACATTTAGAGAATTCTGCAAAATTTTAAAAGATTTATTAGTTAACATGTACAATATAATGTTGACGAAAAGGGAAACAAAATGTAGGTGTAGCTCATTTGAAGAAAAATTAAAGATATAAAAATCCAAATCACATCAAAAAGAATCCTTAATTAATTTTCCTTGATAACTCTCATAACGTTTTTGAAAGAAAATCAAGATGCCATATCTCATTGTAAGCTGTCTTACGCTGTAATTACAAAGTTGCTAACAAGATGCATCTCATTTTCTCACTTTCATTAGTCTACGAAGAACTTGAATGGAAATGTTTCTTATTTACATGAAGCTCACAAGAGAATAAAATCCTTCAAATTACACTTAAAGCACCCCAAATTTTGGGAATAGTTGAGAGTTATTCTTCTGAACCTCAGGACTGCCCATTACTAATGATGTCACTATTTGAAATTTAATAGAAGTCGAAAAAAATAATCCCCTGTCATATTTCAGAAATTGGAAAAATAAATGCATACAGTGGCTGTTAAAAATATGGTATTCAATTTTGTGTAAATTCTGTAATATTATTCCAATTTTGCTTACACTGTAGGCCATTCATCTCTAGGAAGAATATTTTTTTTCCTTACATCTCTCTTGTATCTGATTCATCTAACATAGTTAAGTAAGTGACTCATAATATAAATTAATGATAGCCTGATTCAAAACCAAATATTTTTAATAGTTCCACATCTGAGATGACATAATAATAAATATGTTGAATTACATGACATATTTAAACATACTGATTTAGAATATTTGTAATTTTAAAATGACTCTATTAATTCTCTTCCATTACCCATCCTTAACAGGGAAATTCCTTCTTTGATTTACTGTTGTAACCATTTACTTGTTATTGTTGCATTTAACTGATCATTCATCTGAGAATCCCTCAAATTAGCTCAGCCTCATATTTTTTCTGTAGACAAGAAAACACCTTTCCTTTAGCTAGAGAAGGAAACATGCATAATTAAAGCAGGAAATTTCTTCACCATATCACAGAAAGGCTGAAGCAAAATCAGAAGTCAAATGATGTGGACAGTATAATATATTTATACATGAATGAAAACTGCTATCATGGTTCATGAGAAAACAAAACAAAAAAAAACAGTCATCTATTGGAAGTTTAATGTAGTGCTGTATGTAAGGATTCAACCTAAGATGCAACATAGCCTGAGCAAAAAGCAAGTATTTACACCCCACTCCCTGCCTGTGGGAAAGAGATCAAATCAGTTTTCCAAAGATAAGTCCACAAAGGGAGAAAATTAGTTGAAAAGGGGATAGATACACACAGAGGCTGTATTTCCATACAATGACATAAATATCTGACAGTTTTCTATAGCAAATGCCATCCAAAAGCTTTATTTTGCCTTTAATTGGAAGTGAGAACTATTGTAATTCAGAGAATATTTCAGAATTCAATGCCGAAATGATACTTAGGACAGAATGTTCTATTAGAAAGAAAGAAACAAAATTGCTGAAGATAGTGTTTAACGTGTCTTTTTCTAAACAATGAAATGCAGTTATGTTATGTGTGAATCTCTAGTAACAAATTAGGAAAACTGAAAGGAAAAGAGATCTACAAAAGTCAAAGTTGCAATAAAAAACTCTAATTCAATTCTGTGCCAATGACCTAAACGTAATAGGTATAAACCTCTCAGACAATCAATATATTTTACCTACTGTATTTTTTAGTTCCTTCTTCAAATATCAATTGACAAAATGACTAGTAATAGCACTTGCAATTTTTAGTGAAATGTATGAAGATATACTAATATGCCTAAAAGATGCAAACATCTCATATTTTATATTTTAAGTCTGATATAATGCTAAGTATGATCTTCGTTGGGCACTAGTATACTTCACTATTTAGTTTCTGAAAGCCAGAAATGAACCTATAACAATCTTAACAGCCTATGTCTATTTTCACCATTCAACACACATGCTAACTTCTCAGCTCTGTTTTAAGGTCCTATTACAACATTCCTGTCCTCTCTGTCAGGAGAGGACAACATTCCCCACAATGATCCCTTTGCGCCTCTTATACCAGTTTGCACATAAAATAGCTCTGGTTGATGCATTCCCAATATCACCTGTGCTACCTTGGAAGATGCAGCTTTCCAGTAACTAGTTCTTCAGTCTGTGTAAAATTCCAGTGAAATCTGAAACTGGCTCTGTGAAAGAAACCATGTCCCTCATCCTTCCTCCGAAATATTTCATCATGATGGGTGATCCCCAGTGCAAACAGTAACTCCACATACATGGTAAACATGGCTTAACATAGCAACCAGTGGTCAAGAATGAGGTCTTAAAAATGTCAGTGAAAATGTGATCCTCTCTATACAAACCTCGACCGTTGAAATGACAAAAATGTTAGACAAGAAAATGGAAGGGTTTTTGTGACAGGAGAAAAAAGTAAAGTACATAATACTAAAAACAGGCTGAAGATTTTCTTAGTAGGAAACAGTCCCTGACAAGTTTCCTACTGGTAAAGGGAGGTAAAGATGAGTTTAGAGAATAAAATGTTTCCAGGTATTTGCTTGAAGTTTCGTTGAGACTAAATTGACAAAATCCAGGCCCTGCATGCTGGCTATAAATGCCATGTGTCGGATATTCTTATATGCCTTATCGTACATTAGCATTTTATCACCCTACCTAAATATTTACCCCGTTGATTCTTAAAATCTCTTGAAGCTTCCCATACAAATGGCTTATTTACAATACCTCCTTCTAATTCCTCCTAATAATTACAATGAACACCATAGTTCTTTTCAAAACCATTCCACAAAGTTTTCCAGGAAAAAAGAATACCTTGCTTGTTGATTTTTTGTTTTTCAAATTGAGCTATTATTATCTTTAAGCTATAAAATCTCGGAAACACTTCTCTGTATGCACTGTATACCTTTAACCATTAACATTATTTTCACTATCAAACACAAAATTTGCTTCCATGCATTTTGAAGAGAAAGCTGTCTTTTATCACTTTGTGAAGGCACACACAGATTTTTTTTCTCAGGCTACTTACAGGCCGTTGTGGATCAGTCTCAACTGAAAAATTGCTAGGATTGCTGTTAACAATTTCCAGTTCCAGAGTTTCACATGTAGGATTAAAGAGAGGTATGTATAGACGAACCCATCTGGAAAAAAATACATATAAGTATATGAAATGAGTATTAATTACAAAGCTTCTTCCATTGCAGTCTATTAGTAATCACTTATTTTCTTTTCTGAAAAATGAGTATTTTTGAAAATAAGAATTATATTTTATTGCATTTATCAATTTTCCAGTAGCATGGGCACATGTTTAATAGCATTAATTATTAATAACTGAAAATCAGCTTCATTTATACAACTGTTGCATTGCTCATTATAGCATAACAAATTGGTATTTTGCATGTGCAAATTCTATATTTCAATGGGTATTGTGGGCTGTCCTAAAGCACACCACACTATGCTCACTGTGTTAATGTGATGCCATAAATCAGCTGGCTGTGTATCTTACAGGCTTTTTCTTTGTCTTTTAATTATTGTTAATAAACACACACAAAGTGTCTTCAATAAGGAGCACAATTTTCCAAAGAGGTCAGAAGACTCCCCAAGATTCTTCTGATGAGATCAAAATATCGTTTAGCTCTGATGGAGACATATGACCATAAATCGCATTCTGGTTATAACACCAAGTGATACGCAAAAACAATTCAAGGTGAATCAGTGAAAACAGTAAACAAGTTTGAAAAATCAGATACATATATTGGTTTTGCAGTAATTTATCTACCTAATGAATATCCTCGCTAGTCAAAACTGTGGCAGGTCAACTGCCAGACCGCTCTGGGTATTTATTCTCTAGGATAAATGAGTCAGTTTATCATATCCAAATCAATAGGGGGAAAAAAATACAAAAATCAATGTTAAGAACAGAAGGCATTTCAGTCAAGTGTTATGGCTGTGACTTCATGCCCTAACCTCTTGGGTACAGGTGGGCTACTCCTGACCTACACAGTGATGCGTTGGTTTCCATGTGATTCTCCACAAATTTAAGATACAAATTTTCAACACCTGAGTGGCAGATTTTTCTCATTAACAATTTCAAAGAATTTTATCAATGAGGTCTCAAAAGCAGAAATAGTAGGAAATTTTCACAGAAAAACTCCAGATTCATTTGACAATATCCTTTCCTCCCATTTAATTACTATTTCCAGCCTTTAGTTCTTTGTCTGGCCTTCTTCACACATGCCTCTTCATTTACCAATGGAAAGTTATGTCTGAAATTTCTGTAAGCAGCCTATTTGACTACCGTAGGTTCTTCAGGTGATCAAAACCCATTAAAAGCTGCTGTCACCTCACAGAGATTGATGGCACTTTCTGCGGCAGTTATGACAGAAAAAAAAATCATATTACATATCAATAAAATCAAGGCCACTGAGAACATAATTTGACTGACTGGCACTTTCCATGATTCCCCTCCGCAGCCCTTCCATATCAGGATGGATGGATGAAGACAAAGGAGAACATCAAGCCAAAGGGCTTCTTTCTTAAGGGCATACACTAAGGAACTTAACACTAAATCTAACCTGACACAGTCAAAGTAATAGATCTGAATGCAATAAACTCCAAACATCAGGTTCATGAAGGAGGATTGAAACACAGACTGCTAGAATGTGTTCCTTGCTTCTTCCAGAATTGCTTAGAAATCAATAGTAAGGTTCATAGTTCCTGGCTCTTAAATCAGTTCCTGGCGATGTCAGGGATACTAATTCTTAAATTTTACAAATCGATTGCAAAGAATGCAGTGAGAACACAATGAATAATCAAATCTACATTTAGAAAGACATTAGATGTCATTCATACACATGACAACATTAAAGAAGAAGGTGGTAGAAGTTTTAAAGAACTAGAGGGAAGGGAGGGGAGGGGAGGAGAGGAGAGGAGAGGGGAGGGGACTTTTTTTAAATAAAAAAAAACAACTTTATCCAAGTCAATCGTGCTCTCCAAACTACAACCAACATTTCAAAAGGACTGAACATACTCATGACACATTTTTAGGGGTAAAGCCCATGTAAAATGATCCATGAAACTGCTAAAAGCAGCATCATCACGTGAGTTATGTTATACAAGACTGAAGACAAATCCTCCACACATAGCAGCAAACATTAAGATGCAAGTGCTCAGTGTGCCTTTACAGAATATGTGGCTTTATTAACAGCTGAATGTATTAAAATGCATATATTTCTATAGCATCTGTTATAGAAGACAACTGCTTTTTAACGGTCTAGCTCTAGAAAATGTTCTAATCACTTAGTGATCAGAAAAGCATTTCAAATACTTCTTACCATTTCTTATAAAATTTAATGATTGCACATGGGTAAGGATTTGGAAAATGGATAAAATTTTGGCCAGCACTTCAAGGAAAGTACCGTATGCAAATGACACATGGAAAGTTCTAATGAAAGCGTTGAAAGACTTAATTGAACAAAAAGTGGGAAACTATGACACGAAGAGTATGAGACAGATGAAGAAAAAAGAAAGAAAGAGGTATGTCAGGCTTTTTATATTGCCTCACATTATATGCATCTATATCTGTCTATGAATATATGAAAAGACTATCACTAATTTGTTTCCACATATTATTGCAGTTGTTGCTGCTATTAATAATTGAAATAAATAGTACTGGTCCATTCTTCCTCTGCTATCTGCAAAGGGTAAATACAGATGACTTAATTTACTTAAGCAGAAGAAGTGCAACAACATACAATTAATTGAAAATATTTCTCCTTTGAAAAGGTAAAATCTGAAATTATTTGAGATACTATTTTTGATAGAAAAGTGCTGGACTTAATTCTTTACAACCTACATTTTTATTTGCAGTAAAAAAAAGTATGACTTCCTGGTCTGAGGCCAGGAAGTAGTTCACATGCAGTGCATACTAGAGAAAGGGTGGAATGTCAGTCTGGATGAAAAGGTTTAAAGCTATTTGTTATACCTGTCAATGTCAGCCTGCATATTAAGAGAAAAAATATTTGAATTTTATTCCATTTTGAAGCACAGAACTTTAAAGGAAAAAAAAAAGGAAATAGTCAGTTCTACTGATTTTATCTTATTAAAACCTAATAACAAATTCATTGCCAGTTAGACTTGGTATGAACATCATATATTAGCATTAGATTAACTGAAAGCTGAAATTTCTGTAACTCATCATCTTCATTCAAAATAATTAAAAATGCATAAAATCACTGAAATAAGTTATTAAAATATATGACATAAAACAATTTTCTTATTTCATTTATCTCCTGTATCTACTAACAAAAATTTAATCAGGTATCATTTTATGTTGTATTCTCTAATAATATATTAATTGCAAGATTCACTAAGATATAAAGCTGAGAAGTGAGTGAAATTTAGCATTCAGAAAAGTAATGTATCCACAGAACCTACTACAAACAGAGATAATAGGTGGAATAGCACCACTGATTTTTTCAGGTTCTTGAAAATCTGATCCTAAAATCCTCTTTGTCATGAAAGCCAGGAATAAAATTTATACTATTTTATAGCATAGTTTTACAGGATTATATTACAGTATACTACATATATAGTATATAGCATATATACTATACTTAAGTTAAGCATGATGTGCTATGTACTTACTTTCCAAGTTCACATTCTATTTCAGGTAGAGTAGTTGGCAAAGGTTTGTCTACAATCAGCTTCAGAGCGTACCAAAACTCTCCAACCATCTCTGACAGGAATATGACACTAAAGACAGATACATAAACTCCATATGACACAGCTTTTGTACAGAGATAAAAATTCAGAGATGAGAATTCAGAAGAAAAAAAGTATTAAGTTCCATACAGTGAATCTCTAATTAACTACCAGTTTTCCCATACTCGTTCTTGTTGGTACCTGTATTCAGCTACCAAAGCTGAATAAGAAGCAAGAAAATGTTCTCTTCATCTTTCTTAACTTTTCAGCATAGAAACTATTTTTTAACAAAAATTGAACAGCATTTCCATTGTCAGGTTATGGAGTAAACTTTACTTTCATTTTAACATGACAGTATTTCCGTTCTAGTTAGTTTGAGCTCAAAAGACAAAGTAATAGAAATACCATTCACTGATTTCAAGAAGGAAAAATTTTTCATATATAGTGGTGAAAACTGAAAAATAGATGTACATGGCTATATGGGCATGGCAAATAGATACGTTTCAAAGAAATATTCAATATACTATTTTCATATAAAATTAAATCTTGCCATGCTGGAAATTGTTTGTTGGTAGGTGAGATATGCATCGTTGTAAACTCCTGTGACACTCTAACACTTTCTGTTCTCTTACAGATTTTTCTAGTTCTTGTCTGTGAATATCAAGCAGCTAATTTTTTAAAAAATATATGAAATACACTGGGCAAATCTATGCCTCACTGAAGACCTAAATTTCTAAATGAGAGGTAACTGTCTGCTTCATGACTTTATCGTTCCAGACCTTTTGCAGCACCCTCCATCCCACATGCTCCCATAGCACAGGCAATTGAGCATGGCTACAGAAAAAGCATAATAGCTTGATGTAGCTGGATGTACCTCTGTCCTGCTGTAATTGTGGTCCTTGGGAATTAGGTAGCTTTCTCCTACAGTGTATCAAAATGCATTGAAAATGTACAATGCCCTTTATGTCCTCTTTGCATATATCACTCCTGAACAGGAAGTTCCACCTCCACATGAGGAAGAACTTCTTTCCTGTGAGGATGACAGAGCACTGGAACAGGCTGCCCAGAGAGGTTGTGGAGTCTCCTTCTCTGGAGATCTTCCAACCCGCCTGGATGCCACCCTGTGCCACGTGCTCTAGGTGTCCCTGCTGGAGCAGGAGGACTGGACTAGACGATCTCTAGAGGTCCTTTCTAACCTCCGCCATTCTGTGATTCAAACCTACTCTATTTTTCTTAAAGATTAAAGGGAACCTTTGTGTTTGGATGCACTTGAAAAATACTCTATCAATCAGAAATATTTTCTGACAGGAAAAAATGAAATATGATCTCATTCTGAGCTTCAGAATGCGTTATTTCTACATCATTCCTCAAAAAAAAATATTTACTGAAGTGTTACTTCCTATAAAACTGCACTATCTGCTAGCTATACTGTGTGAGAATAGCTGCCGTTACTCCAGTCTTGGGAAAAATTCAAACAAACCGAACAAAAACTTTGAAATACATGGATTTGGAATTTGCAAATACTGCACTTCAGAACACAAGTCATCTGTTTGTCTTTCCTTATTGCCCTCCTCTCCCATTCTCCACTAATAAAAACGAAAGCTGCCAATCTACTTATATCATAAGGAAATGAGGAACTCTTTTTTTAAATCAGCACTTCAATGGAATAATGTTTTATTAACAAAATTCCAGAAAAGCAGTCTTTGCTATTTTGCACTCTTGGGCTGTTTGGTCTAACTAGTTCAGTTAGGGACCATGATCAGCAGTAGCAACTTGGCAAGTAAAAGCAAAAGGTCATTAGTCTTTTCATTTCTAATTATCATCCTGCACAGTCTCTTTTGGATTTCCAATGAAATATTTTTTTAATTTAAAACCTCCCCATATTCATTAAGTAGATCATTTCTAATTAATGAAGGATTCCGAAACTAAATGGATTTCTGTAAAGATTGTTAGAGAGTTCTTAACCTGTTTTTAGTGTTGGTGGTGTTACAGTTTAGTTCCTTCTCTGCAGAAAAAGTGAAATCACATTATTCCCTTTATAGAACTTGTTATAAAATGAACAATTTATTTTAAGTTTTGAGAGGGAATTTCTAAATAAATATCTATTGCATTGCTCACTGAATTCTAGCAAGCTAGTATAATTAAGGGTTATTTTAATACTTTTCAATAAGATAAGTATTTTTACTTCTCAGAGGAAGGCTGCGGTTTGGGGTACAATGTACTTAAAGTTAGAAATATTTTTAATTGCCTTTTTTTTTTTCTTTTTTCCTAATGTGATATCTAGATACCTGGACCAAGTGTTCAGTATTTTTTTTAATTAGTACAAGAGTAACAAACACAAGTATCATGATATTGCAACTTACCTTGCATCTGAAGTGCCAACAGCAATTGGGGAAAACCTTATCCGATACTGAATTGCTTGCCTTGGCCTAAGAATTAATGCTTTTTTTCCATAAAGGGAATGATTCTCTAGCACTACATTCAAGTGAAGAAATTTCTCTGTAGGATTAGTGATGGGAATATCAATTCCAGTAGTATCCTAGAAACACAAAATAAATTATGAGCCATTACATGTAAAAAGAAAGATCTTTGTTAAACAAGCACAAGATGCTCACACATGATCTGCATTTATACGAACACTGTCTGCAACTTTGTTCCATGAACTAACCCAAGATGGAGTAGTTGCAGTAAGAGACAACAAGCCAATTTTGCAATTGTAAACTCTTTATTTCTAGAAAGAAGGAAGAAAAACAAGTCTTCCTGGCAGTCTGTATTCTAACAAGTTACTTTGCCTGCCAAGATCTGGTTGAGACCTGCAAATCACTGTCTGGTGGGCTGATCTGCTTTAAGTCCTCTAAGTCATCTCTCACAAGCCAAGAAGAGCTGATTGAAAACAGCCATTCTGGAAGCAGGTAGAAAATTACAGGATTTTTTTTTTTTTTTGCAAGATTTTTTCCTCTTAATTTTTTATTATACTATAATACTTTGTATTAAAAAAAAAAAAAAACAGGACCACAACAAACATTCCTCTCTGGTTCCTTTTTGCCACTTATTTCCTCTAATAGTGGTCTCCTCATCTTTCTGTTCAAAGCCTACAAAAGCTTTAGGTGAGAGCCATTTTTTCTCGAATATCGTATGGAAAACATAAGGTACTTCGTAGACACTATTAAAGAAGCACATTGACTTCCAATTACTGTTATGTATTTTCCCATTTTCTTTCACCCATTCAATCAATTTCTTTCAAAATAAGATACAAACACTTGTGATGATAGATTCCTACAGATTCACATTTATAGAAAATGACTACTGGAAAATACTTAAAGGCATTTAATGTTCCATCAATAGCAAGATTACACCATAATTTAAATAATTCAAACACATTGTGTCAGTAGGAGGGGATTTAAAATTGCAATAAAATATTCTAAAATTCAGATTAATAGTTTTTACTGGTGTAAACAAATTTCTAAATCTACTTCCCATTTTATTACTAACAGCTTAATTACAAACCACTGTAAAATGCCCACATCCTGTCCTGCATAGTTTCATTCCTGCATTAGTTTCAGGTAAAGTAGCATTCATTTGCCATTATTTAGTCCGGAATTATGTATTTCCCTGGAATCTCCCCGGAAGTTTCCCTTGAATTACTAAAAATGCTTCAAACCATTGATATTGCAAGGATGATCGAGAGAGCAGATAGATGTGTACCTATATCTATCTATTATACAGTCATAGGCTTTAACAGAATCTTCTAAATCCTTGTTATGGAGGCATAATACTAGCATAAATCACAAAATGCCCATCTAATTTTCAAAAGTATTATTTTTCATGAAAATACCATTTTTTTCACATGAAAGTCAAAAGAGCAATATCATAGGCAAGTCCCAAACACATTTCCAGTGGTACATTTAGTGCCATATTTCAATATATGGTTCAGGTTTAATAAATATCTTGAGAGCAGAAAAATACAAAAGCTGAAAAAAGAAGATTAGTCTTAATCTTCACCAAACTGCTCCATGTATCAGGACAGCCTAAGTCCAGGATAGACCTGCTGTGGTGTAGTATGTCTTTTATTATTATTCCTTGATAACTTGTGATCCAATTCTTGTGTAGTGCAGGTCAAGTAACATAATCTAAATCAATGTAAAATAAAATAAAATGAAAAGCAAATATGATATAATATTCCCTGCGAAACTTTGAAAAAAAAATAGAAAAATGAGTGGTTACACTTTTATCTATACCAACAGCCTGAGTCCAGGTATTGGTGTAATGCTCTATTATCAACATTTTGCTTCACACGATGCTTACCAGGATCAATCTTTCGTGATATTACCTCTTAGCTGAAATATTTTCCTGACATATTTCATACCAAACATCTTCTCAGCACTTCATTTTCTACAACCTCCTTTTAGCAAGTGGATTTAACGGATTTAATATACTGCACAGCATGTATACAGCATGTGCAGTAGTATGTAATTTTATATTTTATTGGAGTAGAGAAGGAAACTGCAAAAGCATATATTCCATACTTGTCAAGCTGTCTATCATCAGCCCAGGAAGAAATCATTCATATAGAGAAAACCAAACCTACGTGATATTGCAATATATATATATTTTTAAGTGTATATAGCATATGCCAATGGACTATCTGTAAGGAACTATCCAGACTTTCATATATTGCAACTTTTGCCCAGCTGTTGAAGGTTTCTATTTTGGTATGGACAGATAGAAGCAATTGTAGAAAAGACCTGAGATGAATTACAACAGAAATGTTACATTAACATAATTATAAAAAATAGCACACCTGTCAAAGAACATGGCATAAAGGTTCTTTCATGATCAAATTAATCTCTCAAATCGCCATAACTGAGAAAGTAATAATTATGCTCCTATCCTACTGAATATTCTTCTTCATTTAAAATAAAGGCCACTTTTGTGTCCATGTAGATTGAAACTCAGTAATTATTCATCTTCCTGAGGCCACAGTCTTGATTTCTTTTTCAGATTCAGCAGTATCAGATAAAATTATAATAATGGGCATTTGTCACCAATCTCCGTATGAAAGCCTGGCACTGTCAGTGACCATCTTAGACTAAGCCACCATAAAATGTAACCTGGCTGAAATAGGTTAGGGAGCAGCAAGGTAACCTTTTCCATCTCCACATCTGAAGTAGAAAAAAAAATCTGCCAGTGTGTTAATGTAAGAAAGGACTTAATTCAGATAATTCAGCTTCAGATAATTTTACAGGACAGTCATTTACATCTGCTTTGTCAATAGTATTTTTGGAAAGCTTGACTCAGCAGCTGATAGACTTCCATACATCTCCTACTCATCACTGTCACAGGTCACCTTGCCGTGCAGATACATGTAATATATAAGATGTAGATTAGAGGGAATGTATGGATTAGAGAAACCATTATGGAAACCATAGCTTGAATTAGATCAATAGATGCATTTACAATCACTTGTTCTATGGGACTATTTTGAATGACTTTAATAAATCCAGAGGCTGCATTTCTCCAAAAAAAAAAAAAAAATTTTTTTTTCTTTTAAAATTTCC